CTCTGTCATTACATCATCTAACCTGCGCGCGTTATCTTGATCGTCACAATTTCATGTAGTTGATAAGAATCTGATAATTCAACACTAGAGAGAATGGCGTAAAATAGATATACATGCTCGCAGTACTCTAGATTTTAATTGAAAACGGCTCGACGATTGAGTCATTCGAGTATCGCTATATGTTAGTCGTATAAACAATATGACTTCATATTTACCTTCCGATTCGTTTAATTAGATTCTATCACTGACGAGTGCGCCGTTATCGCCAATGGCTGCTTTCGCGTGTGTGCTTATGACGCACGGCGTGAATCTAATAGCGAGTTCTTCGTATTTAAACGCCTCCTCATTACAAATACTACGACGCACCTTCTATATGAATTGCAAATTCACCGAAGATCATCAATCGACAATCTCGTGGGAGAAACGGACATTTAACGCATACCGCGAACGTTTTCTGAAAATTAGGACGCGTATTTACCGAGCAAATAACGTAATTCTTCCGGTTTCGATGCGAATGACTCTGCTACACGCCACGTTTCTTGCGGCTTCCTTTCCGCGAAAACAAACGCGTGCGAGAAACGGTTATTAATGCTAGTTGAAAGAATAGCGCGATAAGCTTCGCCACAATTAATCGTTGTAGCCTCAATTGCTGATCTTCGCGTCACGATCGATGTGGAACGCGATATGTTATAACTGTATCTTTCCGATTCGATGTCCGCCGTCAATTTACCGTATATACGTCAAAGTACTCGGAATTTTCGTTTAGCTTGAAATTGATGATAGTTAATTTCAATCTCGCCCACTAGCGAGATTAAATATGAATTAATACACAGTAATTCGCTGTCATTAAAAAAATGATTTCAAGGCTAAATTTTCCAACAAAAATAAATCTATTTCTTTTCGTAAAAATTTTCTGAAAAGTCATTCTTCGTCGTCCGTTGTCATCATTTACAAAGTAGCGTGTATGTGCAGGTAACGAAATTATTACACTATTCGTATCGTTCGACGAAGGAGTCAAATTTGAGAGATCACATGATGACGGTTAAGAAACTTGAGGATACGTCTGGTGAGAATGAGCGAGTGTCGTACAATCCTTTTAAGCTTATTACAAGACCGTAACGGGTTTATAGTATCGCCGAGCGAGCGTAATGAAGTTCGGGGGATTTACGATGGGGGTGCACGAACGCAGTTAAAGTAAATTTAGATAGTCGAGTAAAGTAAATTCCATTGTATCACGCGCGATCGCCGTCTTTTGCGAGATATTTTAACCCGCGGATGTTTGCGCCACGAAACACGAGTTTTCCATTTGATCTCGTAATTCCATTTTGGGAAAACCAATATCGCTGATCAATTACACACTCGAAAAATCATATAGCTTGATTTAAGCAAAGAATCTGGTGTCTGCATGTCTAGAAATACGCGTCTATATATTTCTACTCTCTTATCGGAAATAAAATTCATAAATCATTAAGACGATTAAATAAATTATCGATAAAGAAAATTTATACGTAATGCATTTACGCACATTTTTCATCATTTTACATGACGTCTTTGTATTTTATGAAACTGCCACGTTAATCGCATTGCAGTTCTCTCTTAAGTGCAAGAAGCTATGCAAATGAATTGATGAGAAAAAGCGATTCCACGAATGGTGTTAATCGCCAACGGCGATCTCTTCCGCATAATGTATGATGGATAATCGCGACGGATTGAATTCCTTCGGCAGATTTACGCGTAGCGCGAGAATTCCACGAGCAATCAGTGGAGATTCCCGTCGCGCGGCTGACGAATGATCCATGACGTCTTCATATTCGTATATATATATATAAAAAAAGGGCATTTCAATAAACTGGGAGAATTTCTCTTACATTCGTGTTACTATATTCTGTACAAAGTATCTAAAAGGAGGGTATCGTAGCGCGAGCTGATAACAGAGAAGTTATCGTGGTCTTATCTACGCAATCGATACTCTTGTAATTAAAACTTTTATGATCGTAATCGTGTTCACGTTGCACGTTATGTGTGACAGTTGCTACTATATTCGTAACTGTTCTACATTTATAAGCAAGGGAAATGAGGCAAAAAGAAGATATGAAAATTTTAAATTCTTCGATCGCTTTCGTTGTAATGCATTTTAAGTTGACTGCTTCTGCAATTACGCGACTTCTTCATTAATAGACGCTCTCTCTATCTTTCTCTCTCTTCGAAATTTTAATAGCACTCATTTGGAAATTAATATTTACCATAGCGTCACATTTGTCGAATATTTCGAAGAGATTATAACAGAGAGGGTACATGTTTACAAAATATAAATCCTCAGTCTACATTTCTTTAACTTGTTTCACGGACTTGTACTATCATCTTCGCGTGCTATTGTTTACACACACAACAACAGCGGCCAAGTTCATTCGCGTGTTTATGCTTGTTTCAAAGAAATGTGAAGCATTATAGCGCGACTCTCATCCTCGAGTCTCATTCTGTTCCGTTTTCATCATAGAAGTACTCTTCGCGGACAAGAAACGTTTCCTCTCGGAAAGAAACCTTCTCGAAATTAAGACATTGTCTCTCAGATGAACAACCTTTCTCCGACTTAGATATTTATTTTAAGCGCTGATCGTTCTAACGCGAGTCGCACTATTTGCCCAACCAAAGCGCGAATGATTCGAGAATGGATTTTGCATAGCATTCGAATTACTGTTCTCCGATCGAAATATCCGCGTAGTGGAGCCATACGCGCGCGCTGTTAGTCTGAATCTCGGGCTTGCAACTACCCGGGTCCGGGGAGTCCCTTCCACGAATAGACGACAAATCGAGAGAAATTCCAACGATCCCACTCGTAGTCCGGCTGATTCCGGCTTTATACGGCTTGGCCGTAGGTCGCTGCCGCTTCGTCGTCGTCGTCGTCGTGTCGCCGTCGCCATAGGCATAGAGAGAGAGAAAGAGAGACGCGCGTCTTATACTCGCGGAGCTCGTTCGCTCTCCGTGTCTTCTTGGCGTAGCATGAAAATAGCCCAGCGTACTTGGAATATCGCGTGGCCTACGCGCTAAGCATGCTAAAACGGCGTCATCCAACGCCGCTCAACCAACGGACGTTGCGTGCGTGAGTGCGTGCGGAGCGATTAGTCGAAGAAGCATGCCCATCGATGCTTGCTTATTAGAAAGCAAGCAACGCTTGCGTATTAAACTTTTTTTTTTATACTTTAGCATCACACAATATTCAGATACTCGCCCGGAGAGTAATCAATCAAATATCAATTTTTTAAAAGAATTTAAAAATATTTTTGTCATGTTTTTCTAAGCCATTAATAAATAAATTAGCGATGAGTAAGAATAAAATATGGTTTAAACAATTTGATGTGAATAATATATTTTTCTTTATAAACGAAGAAATCCATTTGTAATAATCGAATTACATTTTTTATAGTATAATACGTAAGTGAATAATAACTTTGGTTTTAATTTTGAATTTGTGTTTTTATATAATTCTCTGCTACGCATTTAAATGAATTGAGCTAATATTTAATGGGAAAAATCCCCACAAAGAAGGATTATTCGGAGCAGAAAGAGACGAGAAGAAGCGGAGAAAAAGAGAGGGAGAAGCTTATTATCTGCCACTGTGCAGTTCAAAAATTCTCCCGCCATCCACTCGCTCAGCAACTTTGTCATGCCTATCTCTCTTGAAGTTCACATGTACTTGTTTGACCAGAGGTGGCCGACCAGCAATACTGGAGAAATACCGGCCAGCGGTTAATTATAACTTGCGGATTATTTACGGCTTTAATTTACGTGCTGATTCTTCGCAATCTAACGGGTGTTTCGAGGTTATTTCTTTTCGATGAGACTTTCGTCACCAATTTTGTTTAAAAAAAAAACCACTGAAAGTCTATGGGAGAATATAATGAATGTAGGAAATTGTAATGATTTCTATTTCTCTTCGTCAATCTATCTATAATGCTATTATTATTATAGGTTTTGCATATGTAGAAATCTTATTTTGTTTTGTACAGATAGGGAATATTATCTCTCACGTGTCCATTTAGCAAGTTAAAAATAAAGCGCGGCAAATATAAAGACCAGCTAAGACTGCGTTGTACTTTCAAGGATAGAAACATTAGTCAGCGGTGATAATGTTAAACGATTGCTGTCATTATCTGCGCGTATCTCCTTCTCTTTTTATTGGAAAACTACAGCGTGACAAAAATGCCTTTCGAGTAAAGACACTGTAGGACGATGTACGCGTATGTACACGTATCGCACACGAGTATCGCACGCACGATTGAAGGCCGAAATTACTATCGTTACGCGATGCTCGCACGCGGTCCGGTTTGTAAAAAGAAGAGGAGGGGAGTGGGGGAGGGGCGAAAGCGAATAGAGGAGCCAGCAATGCTGACACGGAGGACTTGACGTAACGACCGTAGCATCCCTCGTAAATTTTTACAACGCGATCGTAACACCGTTCACAATGTACGAAACTGGTCAAAAAAGAATCCAATCTTCTCTCTATTTCCTTCTCTCTCGTTCACTCTCTTTCTTTCTGCTTTGTCTCACTCGTGATCACTCAACTTTCCGAGTATCACGAAAACACGTCGATGTATCGAGGCGGTGAGACCGCAGCAGCGAAGGAAGGGAGCGATCGAAAAAGGAGAACGAAGTAGTGAATGCCGAGAGGCAGAAAGACAGGGGAGAGGGAGAGAGAGATAGTGGAATGACGAACCAGGAGAGGAGGATCGGAGAGCACGACCACAATGAACGAGAGAACAGGAGAGAGATAGGATAAAGGAGGGGAAGAGAAAGAGAGAGAGAGAGGGGAGAGAGAAAGACAGAGGCACTGTTGTCGCATCATATCTCGCGAGTATACGGGGTCAGAGGAAAAGAGGGACAACAAACATGCCGCGCGCGGAGAGTGACGGTGGGACGAGGGAGCTCCGAGGGGACTGGTAGTGAGGGGGGAAGAGGAGGACGAAGCGGGGAGGGAAACTACGGGGAGACTCATGGTTCACCTGTCGTCATGGCAACGCCGCTTCGCCGCTCACTTGTTACTCCATCGGCATAGCTCGGCCCTCGGCGGCGGTCCTCTCGCAGCCTCCGCAGGAATACGAACGCGAGTCACGATCCATCGCGTGGGACAGAGAGCGAGCCGACGCCTCCTTTCCGATGGGCGAGCGCTCGCTTGCTGGAAGCGCCGATCTCTCTGCCTCGCCGAAGATCGACGGATCCTCTCTCTCTCTTTTTTTTTCCCCAACGACACCGGCGAAAAAAAAGAGAAGAATCGCGCGCGTGAGACACGGTCACCCTCTCTCGCGTTCCACCACTACAATACGCACTATAAGAATTATCACAGAAGAAACACGCACTTCACGCGAGATATTTATATACGTGTTGTGTGTATGTGTATTCTCTCGTCGTCCTCTCCCGTTGTTTCCTCTTTCACCCACGGAGAAACGTAGAATTCGAACGTATCACAGAAACGCGGAGGTGGGGAAAAAGTGAGCACAACATCCACCCGTCTCTTCTCCGATTCGTTTTACTCCGTCCTCCCGCCGCGTACTTAAGCCGAAGTCACTCTTCTATTTTAAGCTCCGCACTTGCCTCGTCCGTCGTATCCTCTATCTCTTTCTCTCTCTCTCTCTCTCCCTCCTGCCGGCACCGCGAGCCAGTCATACGTACGCATGCACGCACGCATGCACGCACTGAACGATATTCACACACACATACGCACGCACACAGTACCCGCGCGATCTCGCGCTATATACGGTGTACACGCGCGATTTCTCGCTTCTCGTTATCCACTTACTACGAGCGCGTCAATCTGTTTGCTATGCAAATCCCGTCTGACCGGCGCTGACGGCGATAACGACAACGGTGCGATAGCACCGAATCGGCAGCTCCGAGCCGACGGATATGATATCTCTCGTTAACGCAATCGGCCGCGCGCGGTTAGTCATTGCCTGCCGACGAGCGACATACGTAGAAAAGTGTAATCGGCCACCCGCGCACCGCGGATTCCACGGGGGTATCCTTGCCCCCACCGCGAGGCACGGCACGGCACGACGACGACGACGACGACGACGACAACGACGACGGCGAAGAGCAAGACACCACACGGCCGAGCGTACACCAGCACTCCGCTACTACCGCGCGGTCACCACTACTATCATCACCGCTGCTACCATCGCCGGCGATCGCGGCACTGCCGGAGCGTCGCGTCGTGTCGCGTCGCGTCGTGTCGGGGACGCGTAAACGTACCGCGCGCGCGGCGAGAAACTCCGACCGCGAATTCCCCCGACGGCGGTCTCACTCGCACGGTGACGTCATTGGCGCCTAAACGCGTCGCCGCGAGCGGCAAGCGGGGACAACCCGCGCGTTCTCCTCTTTTTCCCTCCTTCTCTCTCTCTCGAGAGAGAGATCGGTAGCGGATTCTCCGGCCGATCTATCGACGCCGCGACCTCGTTTACTATACGCCAGAGATCGTGTACCAGTGTACGATCGACAGCGACCCGTTTGACGCTCGATTCCAAGCTTTCAGCCAACTGCACTTTCGCCTCGACTTGCGATTTACACGCTCGGTGTTATCCCAATGTCCCGGCTCGCTCCTGCCTCACGATGATCTACGATCGATCGGCGCACCTCTCGCCGTCCGCGTGGCCCGCTCTCTCGTACTCCGCCGCCGCGTGATAAACACGTCACACTGCTGCTCCATTCATCGATCGGCAGAGAGGAGGTGAATGCCGATCCGGTGTGGTCCGACGCTCCTCACCGATCTACCGCGCCGATCGGCACTTCCGCATGTTCTCCATCCGAGTGTAACCATTCGCGAGTCCCCCGGCTTCGCGATCGCTTCGATACTCGGAAGGTTTCTTCCCGCCAATAGTAGTCGAGCGCTTCGGGTTACACGCGTTTCCCTCGTGCAACGACCGGCGTTGAAGTCACGCTTTCCCGCTCTCGATCGCGCGATCGATCGGAATTCCCTCTTTTCTGAGCACCGCGCGAATCCTCCACTCTCGACGACGTCGCGCGCCCGTTATGGTGTCTCTCGTTCTCCAAAGATCACGCAGTCTTTCAACTCTTTTACTCGGCTCCGCAACACTTCCTACACGTTTCTCACTTCCTTTTCTCACACCTTCTCACACACGTCACTCGTTACTGTCGATCGCGCTCGATTGTCTGTGAATTCTCCCGGCGCTCGCGATTTCGGGAGTCAACTGCTCCCGTCAATCCCCTGCCACAAGTTGATATTTGCGCGCGAAAGTCGACTTTTCTTCGACGACGATCAACTCCGCGTCTCACCCTCCGTGATCCGTGCGGGTCGCCCCGTTTTCACCCTCGTTGTTGTCAACAAGTGATTTTCCCCGCGAACGCAAACGGTCGACACACTACGCACGATCCACGGTGTCGCGTTGCGGTGTCGCGCGCCGCACGACGCTACGCACCTCCTCACGGCGTTGTTATTGTTGCGTAACTGGCGGGTCCCGTGTAGCTGGCTGGCTCCGCAGCCGCCTGCCGCGCCGCGAGACAGAGTGTATGGAGTAGCGGCGGGCGGCGAGGAGAGAAGAGGAGTGGACGGAGAGCTGAGAGAGAGAGAGAGAAAGAGAAGTGAGTGAGTGAGTGAAGGAACGAGGAGAGTGGAAGCGGAGGGCGAGGTAGCCCCGTGGGTGAGCCAGTGGGCGAATACGCAACGAGAGAGAGAGCGTGCGAGCGGTGCGCCGTCTGGCGTGGTTGGCGACAGTCTACTGCCTTCCGAGAACCACGAGGCGATTCCGTGTATCGAACGCGCACCGAGGGCCGTCGACGTTGGTAGTAGGGGAGACGGGATCGGCGCGCGATCCTCGGGTAGGGAGTTAGCACCAGGGAGTACGAGGGACGAAGGGACGAGGCGAGTAAATATGAGAAAGCCCAAGCGACCCCGAGAGCAAAGGAAAGAGAGAGAGAGAGATATGAAGCGGGAGAAGAGAGTTCAGACACGAGGCTCTCCTCAGGGACGCAGATATGCTCCGCGCGCGTTCTCTCTTACGTGTATGAGCACCACGGAGAATCGGCGCGTTACACGTAGGGCTGCCATCTGTAAAATTATTAATCTAGGACTGTGAGCTCTAAAACCCCGGATTTTATAGCTTAAAACTCGGACTTTTTTTTAGTGTTAATATTAATTTTCTTATTGCAAATTTCAATTACTTAATACATCATATCAGACTATGGCTTGTTCACACTGGTTCACACTGTTCACAGACACAGGTGACAGGACGCATCAGTGCGTTTAGTGTTACGCATGGCATGGTGTAATAGCCAATCATTTTTTGCTCTTATGGAAAAGCCGGGAGGTAGGAGTTCAATTACGTCATTTACAACGACGTTTGCGCAGCTATTATTTAATAATACGAGTAATAAAAAAACCCGGACCGCTTCAAAAACCCGCCCGGACGCCCCCGGACGTCTTCAAAACTAGGACAAATCCGGGGAAATCCGGACGGATGGCAGCCCTAGTTACACGTCATATTGGAAGACGATAATGAGGGTTTTAACCGTGGCCTTGCCGTCGTCAACGGCGGAACCGCGTGCGAAATGGAAAATTTACCGCGAAATCACGACTGACGTGAATGCCGAGATCCTGGCTTATGTCCGATTTGTTTTTGTTTGTGGTTTTTTTTTCTATTTTTGCTGCCACAATCGATAAATGGTCAAGGATCGTTCGAAAATTTGAAATGAGCAACTACAACTCTCTCTCTCTCTTTCTCTCTCTCGCAAGTCATTAATCGAAGAGTTGATCGTTCTTTGAATAATCGGTTAGCTAAGGATTTCGTTAGCTTGCGCCATTTCGTATAAGAAAACGGAGATAAATCGATCGCGATCGTTCGAACGCCCCTTTCTTCCTGATCAATTTTACGCGTTTCTTGATTTGCCTGCATTTACAGCGCCGCACGTACAGCGCGCTCGATGCAACCTGTTTCCGCGGCGCGCATTGCGGTGTAACGTTACCTGTTTATAAGACGCCTGCTCTCTCTCCCCTCCGCCACGAGGCTCCATTCAAACGCCGAGATTAGCGACTGCGGCCGATTTCCAATTTTAATCATCGCGCCGAGTCCCACTTCGCAGCCGGCAAGCCGGCGTCGTTTGGCGAATTAGAGAGAGTGCTTTTTGAGATATTCAGCCTCTTTGGCGACGGCACCCAAACAAAACGCTATAAATAAAAGCCGTGAAAATAGAGGAGCGGGGTGGGGCACCCCAGACCCCAGACGAAGAAACGGGGGATCTCGTGCGATAATCTGCCTTATCTATTCCGGATCGCTAACAGCCAAGGGCACAGACGGGGTCTCGCTTCCTCCGTCCTCGTCTTCGTCACGGTTATGTTTTATCGTTCCCGTTCCGAGACTCCGAGGCTCGCACCGGGAAGAGAAGACCCCGCTGCCAACTATGTACAAACTCACCAAGAAGAACAGTTGGTCCTCGAGAAACCGAACTCCCTGAGAAAAATTGTTAAAGGACACGCACGTAAAAAATTACACGACCGAAAATATTTGTGAAAGTCCGATTTTCTATTATCCCTTGACGAAATGTTCCGAGCATTTCTAGACCGTTATTCGTATATAGAATGAAACTTTAGGAAAGTGTTTGGCAAGAGGAATCTTTCCATTTAGAAGTTTTTCGTTCGTGAACGGTATAAAAGCAGGTGTACATTTAGAGATATATACGTATTTAATAGAATATAATGAATCTACATTCGAGTTTTTCCGTAAAAAAAATAATTTTTGCATGGAGTGTAGCATGAATTTTAAAGACTCCATGATTGCGTTCGCAAATTGTAAATTGTGTATTACTATTTCATCAATGCCTAACGGTATTCGCGTTACGAAATAATTTGGAGACGTGCAATTCGGCGATACCATCTGTGAATTTTCGTTTGACCTCCGCTGTAATTAGCGGTTAATACGGTACACGGTTATGGCGATTCGTCATTCAAGGACAATCAGTCGGAGGTATAATTAACGATTCCGCCGCGCGGAGCATGAAAGAGTCTCCGCCACACATTGCGAATGTTCCATCGATCGTATCTGAAACGCAACACCGTCGTCGTTCTCACGCACACGCGCCTCACAATCGTGGGCGATCATCGACTGCGCAATATCGTGTGTGCAACAAGTTACTTTTGTTAACTGAACGTAGGAAGAAGACCAGCCAATATATGAATATAAAATCGAATCAAATCCGCATTCACGCTCCTATATATCTCGGTAAACTGATATTTAGTAACAAACAACTGGGACACGAAAGAAACGTATATTGAAACGTATACAATAGTTCATTATTATTTTAAAGCCTCGATATTTTATCGTATAGTTTTCCGATGCATTTGTTTTCGAAAAATAGCACACCGCGATTTTTCCAGTAGCCACGCTACGATTGAAATGTCGAAAGCACGAGTGGCAAACGGGATTTTGGCATACGAGTGTCGAGGTAAAAAAAAAAAGCAGAACGAATCGAATTTTGCCAAAAGTGGACTTGACCCGATTGTATAGGTATTTGTGGACCGCGCGCTTCAGTCAATCCTGTAGCGTGTCCCGTTGTGGGAACGGGCGTGACAGGATAACGAAATGCGGATATACAATACAAATACAATCTGAATATGAATTTATCGGGCCGTTATGGAGCGTCAATCGGCCGGTCTTTAGGGTGCAGCGAATTGCGAACCGATGCGAACGGCCCTTTCGTGCGCGACTGGCCGACGTGATTATTATTGAGCGACAACAAAGGCGGGCTAATTGGCACGAGGCGCGCAACGTGTGCTCGCCCAGGACGGACGGTTGTTATCGCGAGAGCCCGGTAATTAAGGCGAAAGAATACAAATTGCGGCGGTTGTGAGCGGTGCTATTAGCGCAGCGGAGAGTTCGGCGCTACGAATTATACGATTGGCGGAATGTATTCCGATACACCACACCATCAGCTCTCTCGCCGCGCCGCGCCGAGCCCGTTTTCGCGAAAGGCATTTAACGAACTTCATTCATGGTATCGTCAATTCGGTAACAATCGAGCCATTTACGTACCGGCCGATAATCGGCGGAGCGCGATGAGTTATCGGCGATGCAATATTAATTGCAAAATAAAATAAAATAAAAATAGATGTGAAAGAGAGAAAAAAAGAGATTTCAAAGGTGCAACGAATCGTAAGTACGTGGGATGAGGAAAAACTTCATACTAGAATTAATTCGTTCATTTTGAGGGCAAAACGGATCTAGATGTGCACTTTGACATTTATAATCGTTTTTATTTCATAAAACTTCGATGATGTTGCTTTCCGGGAATTTTTATTTTATTATATATTTAGCTTGAAAAAATGGAGTGCGTCAAAAAATTAAACTCCGCCGACCGCCACGCATGACCTATTCCAGATACATTTTCATACCTTAACACACGAGCGTTTTTTATTCTTCCCTTTTGACCTTCTTATTTGGAACACATTTTTCTCGTATACGTGGGATTATAATATAAAGAACGTGTCTCTGGATTTATTCAGATAAAAGAGATGTAGAATTTATTTTTAAAACAGTAGCTAGATCAAATTACTACGTGGATGGATCGTAAGATAAATTCAGGTTAGATTCGATGTTTCTAGATGTTTCTTCATATTTTCACTCCACTCCTATTTCCTAATTTTTTGCGTAGTTATTTGCTTTCGTTAGTTCACCCGTTTGCTCGCCACTTCATCGTCGACTTGTTACAAGTATCTTAATAATCGAATTAATCTTTTCTTGGAATTACCTGAGAAAAGATATTTTAGTATCTATTGACAGCGTGCTAAGTTTTGTATGTATTTTCACTTTTAGTTATTTAAATAATCCACAAATAATCGGTGCTTTTATAACTTTTTTTTCGAGAAAATCAACTGTTAATTTTTGTCTCGAGAATCTCATTGCAGCATTTATAACCTTTGACAGAGACTTTCGGGACTAAACTGGCCACGAAACAATTTTTTTCAAAGATTGTGCCGCACAGTTATAGAGGTATTGGGTGCTTTCCATTCAGTGACACAAGCCGACACAAGTATTATTTTGTCTTTGTTATTCACTAAATGCTAAGAAGGATAGAATGACGTTTGTGTCGACTTGTGTCCACCAAATGGAAAACACCCATCGTCTAGTAATACGTTAAAGAAAAGGAAAGAGAAACCTTGGCCATTATGCGATAGTCGGTCGTCGGCGACGTGTGCCGAGCTAGGACACCACCAAGACGCAAGTCGGCAATAGCAAACGCGAAGTAAGCAGCAGGCGGGCGAGCGAACGAACGGAGGCGGGCAGAGCAACCAGTTGGGTGCAGTAAGAAACCTCCAGGCCTGTTCCCCCGCCGGAGTTCCGGAGAAGCCCGGATTGTTGTTCCCCCGAGATGACGGGACATTCCACGAACTGCTTCACCGCCACGTTTCGCCCTGCTATTCCGCTCGCTTCGCCGAGCCATCGGCCTCTCTTTCTCTCTCTCTTCCTTGCTTCCTCCTAAGGTGATTCCGGCTTGCTCCTTCTTTTTCCAACGTTACTCCACGTAGGGTATTCCATGGGGCACACTACTATGAATCCGCTTCGTCACATGGCAGTCACGCACACGCATTCACCATGATAGGGATCGCTCGTGTACGGTAAAAAAAAAAGGACAAGAGATGGGTGGAAGCGAGAGAGAAAAAGAGACGGAGAAAAGACGAAGACTTGCGTCCATAGGACGTGCATTTTTATTTTTTCGGGGAATAAAGCTGTATACATGTTTGGATACCTGCAGAATTCCGTTTAACTGTTAGAGAACTTTTCTTGGAAAACGAGAGATTATTGGTTTCTCGATTTAGTTTTATAATTTCCCCATTGACCCACGTCCGTCAAATTTTTCACTTTTGCCTCTTCTTACGACGTGTTGCTGATGTATACTTGTGGATTGCGTGCAGAAAATACGCAGTGTCAAGCAGGATTCATCTATATCACGCGAACACGTCACCGGCAGCGTCTCTAGCGCATGCACAAAAACGCTGAAGAACGTCACGAGGAGATCGTCGAATCATATTTCATACAGTCTTCATTTCCGTCATCAAAAATCGCGAGTCGGGACATAACGAAAATAAAGTATAAAACTTCGACATGAAACGATTATTGTACCTCGCAATCGACACGCGCGTAATCTCTCTCTTTCAAGATTAAAATTAACTGTTTCTTCTCACGCGCTGTGCATACGAAATTTCAACGAGACAGAGCCTTTCGTCACTTCGGGAAGCAGAGTTCTCGTGCTATCGACGTTCTCGCTTTTCCTTTTCTACCCTTTGAGCGGGGAGCCGAGCGCCGCTCGGCGCCGTTTGCGGTGGGGGTCAAAGGCGCAACGGCGAGCGAGGACGTTTTACTTAAGGTCACTGTGTTAACCGTGCCGCGAGGATTTCATTAACGCCTCGTTCGCGACCAGCCGGCGCGCGCGGATGGGGAAGGACGGGCGTTCTCGGGGCACTTATTGTTAATAGAACAGGCGAACAGCCTCGGCTTGACGAGGTAGCCGTTCGATATATATGAACGCCTCGGTGAGCGATGCAGCGTGAGCCATGAGGGTCGTGCAGCGGAATGCAACGACAAGGATGCATCTGCGCCCTTCTAAGTTCTCAAGGAGAAAGAGAGGGGTTTCGCTGTAAAGTTATACCGACTGTATGAAGCTCAAAACGTACGCGTTGAAAACTCTGGGAACGTGCAGACGGATAATCCCAATATTTTTTCTTCTTTGCTAAAATGTGCGATGCTAAATATCGGATTCTCGCGTATCTTTGTCTTAACGCTTGAATATTTTATACTTCTTGCATTTTCCGCCGGGTAGATCCCTTTTCGCTTGAAAAAGCAACGAACGGCTCGTTTGCGAAATGGATTTCATCAAATGTTTGGTATAACATGCACGTGGCAAATAACGACGCGACGCAATATTGTGAAACGAGCGAGCGAGGCGCAGCAGAAATCCGATCGCAAAAGCGAGATCGCATGCGCGTGCAGGAGGTCAAAGCTGGCGGAAAAGTCGTCGTCGCCGGCCGGATTTATCGGCCATGCCGATTCATCGAAATGTCGCCGTCGGTGTCACGGTATTTCTGATACCGCGACGAGGATAGTGTCTCGTGCTTCGCTCGTAAAAATAGAAAAAAAAAATAATTAAATTTAGAGATCTATTATCATTTATGTTCCTCGCATCTTGCGCTCACCTCTACTCTTCACGCAATAATACGTACTGCGGGAGAGAGAAAAGGGAGAAGAAAGCGAGAATTACGATGTTAAGACAGAACATTATTTTGAATTCTTAGAAAGAAAGATATACATATATCACACTTCGTTACAATATCGTCATATGTGTAATCGTTGAATGGTTATCACGCGACCTCTCGTTTCAACTCGGAGGATTATATGGTGCGACGTAACGGCAATACAGCCGGCGATTATACGGCCACGCATGATTGCCTCGTATGCCCGAACGACGATACCTCTCCCGAGATTCTCCCGGAAGCGAATCGCATACGTGATAACGTGAAAAGTCCGACACGCGTATAGAAATACGTAGTTGTCTCGAACGAAGCGAGTACGGAAGTTCTATGAATCAGTGATAACGAAACTGCAGAAAGTTCCTTGTTTAGATTTCTTTGCTTCGGAATGTTATTAAGATATCTCGCGGAATATGCATAAATCTATGATAGAATATATTTAATGTTAATTAGCAATTATCGCGGATAGCTGAGAAAGTTCGGCAGAATCTTCTCACGATATCTTTATTTCTGTAACGTTCACTTAATATTAAACGGTTAATATTAGTTTGCTTGATAGGAAGTGTCGTTGTCAGATCAATCTTCAATTTGACTTCGTGGACTTCGAATAAGTAACTGCAGAAATAAACCGCGATCGTATTCTCTCTCTGCGCTATCCTCAAGCAATCAGAAATTCGCGATTTAATCCCGACGAAACTCGAGATTGTGGAAATGATCGGAAATCGAAAGTCTAGCGCTGTCATATTTCTCGCGTTTAATTTGGCACGCTGATATTTATCTGTCTTCCGTCTCTCGGACGCGCTGCTCTTTCCAGCTATTGATTTCATTCGTGCTATGAATAGTAAGTCGACGTAATTGATTATCCCTGATTTCCCTCGTATTAACACGGCAGGATTCAAACTTCCGAGATCCAATCGTTTTCGTACGAGACGACGCCAACGGTTCGGATAGAGTTTCGCGCGTCTGTCCGAACGATTTGTCAGACTCATCCGCGATCTGACAGAAAGGATCGCGAGACACTCGTGAGTACGCTAGGCGGGGTATGGAGCTTCCGCGGCGAGATGGAAATATCCGTGGAATCCCCCGTTGTCGCCGGAATGTCCGTATTAAGAGTTCGTGGCCGACGTCGTGTCTGGACTTCTGACGTGCGCTAAGATAAGACGAGCTTCCTCGGACGTTCGTTCTTACGTAAGCGGCGTCGATGGAGCATTATATAGCTACCATTTACGTTGGCGTATAATGTTAGACGAAATCGCAATAGCCTGTGAGCGTGACACCTTTGTGTCGACGGGAACCTTGAAGCGGGGAACATGCAGGTGTAACGAATTTCCTTCTTTCTCTCCTTTCCTCTTTCTTCTGTCTTTCTTGTGCAAGACTGTTGCGCGCACCTGTCGGTCTCGGCAGCGGCTCCTTAAGGAATTCCTGCGGGACATAAAGTCGCTGTCTCGCGCATCGCTCAAAGGATGATAGTAATATATCTACTTTAATTGGCGTATTATGCAAAAACGTGTTAGCCAACAAAATTAAAAGAAATGAGTTACACGTACATACAGCTGAAGCGGCTAAGTGAAACTCCGCAAACTCATATAAAGATTAAAGTTTCCTTCATATATTTATAATTAATGATAGCTATATAAATTAATTTCTAGAGTAGAAACAGAAGTGAAAGTGAGGTAATTCTGGAACACCCTGTGTATCCGTTGACTCGCGTGCGACGCTATCGCAGCCAAGAAGCGCATCGTCACGTTGCGTTCTCGTCGAAGACGGTCTTAACGGCGTTTCACGCGCCGGAATGCAGTCGTTTCGAGAGTACGTTGCATTTTTAGAATTGACTGTGATCCGATTTTATCTGTTTGCCCTGATAACGTTTAATTCACTGACATCTTTCGGTTTTCCGTGATACACGATTTTGTAACTATTAATACCTCATGTCAAAACAAACGCCGCACGAATAAAATCCTACAGAATCTCTGACTAAAAATAAATGTGTTTTCTTCTTACACGTCATTATGTTCTAATTTGTATTATAATTCGAAGATTTATATACTTTAAAGATATATATATGTATATATATATATTTTTTAAAGATCGCGCTTTTATTTCCAGTGAGAAAATTAATAATGACAAAGACGTTCTTATATTTTTTTCTTTCTTTTTGAGTTTAACTGAAGTCTTTGTCACGTCGAGATAATTGAATTTTTTGCGAGCGATGCGAAGATATTGTCTCGATGTCGTTTAATCATCTTCTGCGCCTCTGCCGGCTAGCTAAAGTGCTGCAAAGCATCGGTATTTTTTTTTCAGTGTGCTCGACGATAAAGTGTGCCGTGCGCGTTGAACATCGCGACGCGATATCAATGTTGCGTTATATCTTTATTTACCTTTCGGTTGTTTACGCCACGGAACTCTGATTTCTCAGTTATGCGGGAGCTGAATCACGCGCGATACTTTTTTTTCCATATCTCCAATTCGGCCGGGCCCACGTGTCCAATATGTTATTCGCCCGCTTGTTTCTCTCTCTCGGTGACTCACCCACCGGGGCGCGGGTGCACTTGTTGAATCTCGCATACTCGCTCGGATTATACCCGCTCGTTTCTTCTTGCTTTCTCTTTTTTCCTTTCTCTTCCTCTCTCTCTTTCTCTCTCGTTCTTTGCATTTCGCAAGCATGCGTTGCAATCCCGTCGCGTGGGTGGAGTATCGTTTTCCTTTCGCATGTCCTTTCGCAAAAACTCTTAATTTTCAGCCGAGGCGTATCCAACGCGAGGCGTGTTTGTCACTTCGAAATATTCGCGGAAATAATCATAGATAAGCGTTATATATATGTTGTTATTTGTCAGAAGAAATTTCTCTCTCTCTCTCTCTCTCTCTCTCTCTCTCTTTCTACTTCAAAGACATAGAAAATCGAAAGTTTGTCAACGTTCTGTTTCTTTTTCTGAAAAGTGTCAGTTAGATATTTTTCGATTAGGATTGCACTGTCATAATCTAGGCGTAAATTATCATAGACATGGATACACTCTTGAATAAATGCATCGATAATCACAGGCTGTACGAATGCTTATTAATCGCATGGATGACCATAATATTACGAGATTTGTAATCAAATATGTTTTTTGGGTTATAAGAGAACATGTAATAAGTACCTATTTTGCTCACACAGGTATATGACCGGTTCGTTTATCGACTGCTGGGGAGTGCTCGAAATGGCCTCTTAAACGCATGCAGACGGCAGGCAGGTAAGTAGAAAAAAATTGCGCTTCCATTCTCCACTTGTGAACGCGCGAAGGGTCCTCAATGAACGTCAAACGGAACGAACGGTTCGCGAAGCCGCGTACACACTTGTGTGCTGATATTTATAGATTCCTATAGAGTTACATATGTTTGTACTTTACCTTTATATAGCTGACAATTGAACGCAGCGATCTCGGATTATGGAATGGTGTGCATTTACGTGCTTGAATAACAGATTCTAGTATAGAATGATTTTACGTTTCCTCCTTTTGAGTTGCAATAAAAATTCGGCAATGCCAATTGTATTCCAAATAATTGTTTGATCATATATAAACGTGAAATGTTGAAAACTTATTTCCGCGAATCAAATTTCCAGTCAATCCTTAACCTCAGTGAAATTCAGGCTCCGCGCTAGGCACATCTAGTGTGATACATGAACGATTCAGTAAATGTTTTATAATATTTCATGAGACTTTTTTTGTATTACGAGACACACACTGACGACGATTTCAATTTTTGGCGTGATAATTATATAAAGAACAAAATTTCGAAACTCTTATCGAGAGTTGAGAAAAAAGTTTGCACCGCCCGGCGTTAATGAGTGTTTAATTGCATCGTTACTCAATTCGTCATATCGCCGGTCGCGATGTGCACGCGACTTTAAATTATTACTACGACGGCTCCGCGATGTCCGGCGAGCGGCACATCGCGGTCAGCGAAACCCACGATAGAAGCGTTCGTCACGCAGATGCGTTATCGCGTTGCGAAACGCCAGAGCTAGACGCAAGATGTCGAGAGAGCGAGAGAATCGCGACGCGGCGATGTGATGGCGACGTATTTTGCCGCGCGGCGCAGTTCCATGCCTTCTCAGCCTCCGCGATTAGCTCCTGCGGTTTAATTAGTCGCGGCCGGCGGCCGCGCAGAGAGAAGAAAGAAATTAACGACGAGAAGAGTTGGCCGTGCCGGCCGAGCGCATGAGGAGAATTCAAGTATGTGCAGTGTTACTTAATCTCACTCTCTATGGTCGACAAACAATGCCCGATCAAGTGCTAATCTACTTGATGTCTATGTGTTAATAGCATCTTCTAGAAATTAATTAGAGAAATTAATTATAGATCGACAATCCCAATCTAAAATTGTCGAGGCCAGAATAATTTTCGAGCTATCAAAATTAGCTAATGGTAGGGACTTTGTGCGCTCAGATGTCTCTTATATTCATACTGAATTTTGTTATATTTTATTGATTTTTATAATTAAGATAATGAATTTTTTTGCTTAGTTGAGTTTTTCATGTGCCAACATATATTATAATCGACTGATATTGAAAAAGTAATTATTAATAAATTAAATAATTAATTATTATTAATAAATTTTAACTGTTACGTGCAAAATTATTTTATCTTCTTTAGGTATACATTTGAGAAATTGCTTAATTACTTTATTTAAAAAAATTAGCGAATTTAATTTATCTCACTATAAGGATTGAAGTTCATCTTTTTGTATAATTGAAAAATTAAAATCGATTTTTTATTATTATTATTTCTTTTAAGTTGCATGATTATAGTAAATAAAAAAATTAATTATTACGTTCTTTATGACTACCAAATTTCGCTTTCTTACTGTACTAAAAAAAAGTTAAAAAGATTATAAGAAATTTCGTATTTTTATCGTTATTTTATACGATTACTTTTTCTGAAACATAAAAATTCGCAAAATAATAATAAAATAATCTTATGCGAGTATCTTTTCTGTCAAAAAATTAAATTTATTTCTCAAATAAACTTCTCGATTAGATTTTAACGTGCTCGTTTATCGAAACTTGTTTGAAGGGAAAGGATATTTGGCATTTTTAATTCATCTAGTTAAATATTTCGTAGAATAAATATCTCGTTGGTAGAATATTTTATAACGACGAAGACCTGGCTGACAGGCTGTCCAGCGCTTGTATTTTTTTTTGCCCGGTATACCGCATAGGTATTGTTTATCCGTGGCACGCGGCGTGCTACTTGCGCGTGATCACATTGTTGTCATTCGTGCGGCGAGATTCGAGTCGGCAGATAGTGGCGCGAGTCGTTCCATGGCATTATCCTTCGAAATGCGATCGCGACAATTGCTGGAGACACGCCAAACACTATCGTTCTCTGTAATTAGCGATTATTACAACCTGCGCCAATTGACTCTCGTTAACGATTCGTGTTAACGACTCGTAAACGCGTTGAGGTGCAACGGTCACTTACTGGAAGGGATATCTCGCATTTGATTCGTTCATTCGAAGGAAATAAGAATCAAAGCGACGAAGATAGTAATTAGAAGTGATTGTTTCGTTACGATCGTTACGATGTTTATGACAAACGATAATTAATTTAGGCTTTGAATACATTTTGTATCGCGAATTTTTTGGCCGTGATAATTTGCCCATTTATTTTCGTATTGGTAACGCGAATATATGAATATTTAAATAACGAAAATGGCAACACATCTTTCTCGTTTGCTTAGTAGCAATATATCATTTTTGATCATTAACGTCCAGAATATAACATGAATCGCTTCGCGTGCGCGTGAACGATAATGTAACGCGTTTGATTAGTATTTTCGTGAGTAAGCTGTGCAAATGCTACAAAGAAAAGAAACAAAGGTCGAGAAATGTGAGAAGGAGGAATGGCAACTATGGTGTGAGTAATTTGTTACTCGTTATTCCATTTGCTACTTGCGAAATTAATTATAACGATTACTTCTTCGACTAGATGTCTTAGTATACACCATTTAGGTGTTTTATTCTAATTTAGATATTTTTATATTTTACTATTTAATGTGGTTCATTCTACAACTCCGCTGTTGCGCATCGTATCGGTGATAAGTTAATTTTATTTTAAATTAAATTAAATATCAACGAATCTCTCTGGGAAGATCGTATCGTACATATGTGTGAAGTACGCAGATGTATATTTGAGCTAAAAACATACTATGGATAAATATGTAATCTTTTCTAGATTCGGTGTCTTAAAGTGGATGAGCTAGAATAGATTAGAATCAATGTTTAATCTTGGAATATCCAATTATTCACCGATTTACATGAGGATGGACTCGCATACACGCAAAACTCGCAAAATAGAACTCATTATATAGACTCATTTAGTGACACATTTCGTCATTATTATATCACAGAATAATAATTGCAAGGTATTCCGATAGCTTGAATTTTTGAATACAGTTCACAAGCATATAAAATAAGAAATTTCCTATATAGATTAAGCTATATAGATTAAGCTCGACAAAAAAGTAAATAAAACGATGACAATGTGACTTTTGCAAAATAAAATTATCTTTATATCTGGTAGAAATATTACCGGTTTTTTTATTTTGTGCCAATCATTTTAGACACAGATAAAATTTTCACGTAATGTAAAAACACAAGGAAGACACTCTGAAGTTATATAAAAAATATTGACGATATTATTTCATGATTTATTTTCTTTTCTTTTCTCTTTCTAAATATCTCTTGAGTATAACTTCAGTTTAGCCTCCCAATATATTCTCCCAAGATTAAATATTAAATAAATATAAATCGGTATAAATAAAGTAAAATGTATAGATTTCTTAGTTTGCACATTATATCATAAAGGTAAATGAAAAATACGAAGCATTTTATATACAAAATTAATTATTTAAATATGCAAATAATTATTGATTGTAATAATATCTATGTATAAGACATGAATTTTATCTTAATTTTTCCGTAGCCTATTTATATTTATTAACAATTTCATTTTATATTATTTAAAATTTGTAAGCAGAATGAACGTAATATTCAATATTTCTTATATGTATAATGGGAAACAAAACTATTTATATAGATTAGGTCTTTAAATGCATTAATTGCGTGTCGATTATAATATATAATATATTAAAATATTTGAAGTATATATAATTTTCACAATATGATATAGAGAATAACTTTGAGAGTAATATTAATTGAAATAAACCAATTTCAATCGTTTTAGAATAGTCTTTAGAATAGATTAAATTATGCAATCATTGTAAGATACTCTTTTTAATAAATACTATAATTTTGCGATTTGTATATTCGCGAAAAGATTAGATCAGTTAATGAGAGATTTCATATAATATATTCATTCCTATTTAAAAATAGCAAACAAATTTTGCGATGTTGATGGCGTGATTATTAAATGAAACGAATAAATATCTAGACACACAGGCTTAATTTTATCACGAGTGTAAAGTGTATCGGGTTACGCTTAATAACCGCATGAACGAACGAATCACGGTGTCACGATCCCACATACTCCTGTCATGTAGTTACAATGATGACACGTAAACAACAATGAGTCCGTAATCTTATCTAAAGTAAACCGTCTTTTGCGTAACTTTTCTCACTACCGCCATCGAATCGATGCCCATCTGTTCCGGCATAATATCCGTAGAGCAATGATTGATTGAGACGTACTCATTCTTTTTTCCCTTATCTGTAAGTTTCGTTAAACTGACACTTATTGATGCCTCTAACGAAGATAATCGATGCCCATACTAAGGATCCATTTGAATGAAAGGAAAATCGTGTTGAGAGAATTTATGTTATCTATATAATTGAATATTCCATAGATGGAAGGGAAGATAAAGTTTAGAAATAACCGTTCACAAGTATTGTTTTTCGACTGGGGTGAAAAAAACCTCTTTAACTCGGGTCCAGACTAAGTGAGCAAACACGAATGACCAACTTGTTTCAATGAGTACGTACTCATTGAAATAAACAAGTTGTTCATTTGCGTTTGTTCGCGTTCGTTCGTTCGATCTGAATCCGGCTTAAGATTCGCACGCGATAGTCTTCAGACTGAATAAATAAACGATGTTGTTGATCCTCTCGCTTCGATATCTCACCTTCTATTTGTCATCGTTTTCGTACATATCTGCCGCTATTTCACGATTCTTTCGTTGCCTGTTTACGCATGTGTTTGTGACAAACGAGCGCCTTCGAGCTCGGATAAGC